GGCGCCTGGGGCAAAAGAGGGGATTCCCGTTCGCTCTCCTTCGGTGGCCTCAGCCTGGTCCGCTTCGTAGCATGACCTTCTCCCCTCTCTTCTCCCCCTCCCCCCCCCCCATGAGTGCTTCCCTCCAGCCGAGCGGGAAGGAAACCGGTGGCTGCTACCTCCGCGCCTGCAAAATGCGGACCATGTGTGCCAAGCCTTCGCTAGGAAGCCGGGGGGGGGGGGGGGGGGGGAGGCTCGTCCCGAAGCACCCTTGAGCCCCTGGGTCGAAACAGGATGGGACTGACTTCTTATGACCCCTACGAAAAAGCAGCCTTCTTGGCTTCCTGGATGGGTCCAGGGGCCTGTGGTCCTGCCCTGTGGACTTCGACCTGAAGATAAAGTGTACTGTGGTGGGTGATCGTGGTTTACCCTTCCCCCATAATTAGGAAAGGGTGCCATCTTTCAAGGTCCCAGGGAATGCCCAGAGAGCCCCCCGAACTTTCTCCCCTCGACCGAAGCCGGAGGAAAGAGTCTGCCCTCACCACTAAGGCCTCGGTCTTAGTCAAAGTAGGGCCGCACTCCTTGTTTGGTCTCAACACATCTAGGGGTTGATAGATTTATTAGATGGTTATATCTGTCTCCCCCATTTGGGTACTCCCTCGTAAGCGATCCACAAGCGAGTTGGTCCGAAATTTATCCCCATTCGCCTCCACACTCTTAAAACCTTTATTTAGAATTTATTTTTCTTTAAACAAAACAGATCTCACTGGTTCCCACAGAACTGACTCTAAATATTGTCCACAGGAGGTTTGGGCCCTTTCTGGAGCAGCCTCAGTCCAATGCTTTCCTCAGAAGTCCTACAAACGTTGAAAATTGGTGTTTATTTTTGTTTTGTTTTTTGCTGCGTGGGCAAAAAGGCTACCCCTGAATATGTACAATTCAATTGTACATATTGGGATGACAGCCTTAGATGTGGGTCCCACCGAGGGCCCCAAATCAGTCTGTTTAGGGTGAAGTGAGGCGTTGAGCTGAGGTGCTCACCCAAATCTCATCGCGATCCTATGCTCAAATTAGGAATTATTTCCCATTTAAAAACAAAAACAAAACACGAATGCAACGTAGCACTATTGAAGAACGAAGGGCGGAAGCCAGAGCCAGAGATA